TTTGAATTGGTTTGTTTCATTCACATGCTTAAAACCTGCTAAAGACGATCTATAAATAGGAGCAGCTGATCTGCATGTTCTTGCAACAACGACACGCTCATAATTTCAAACATCAGAAAGAAAAAATGAATTCCCTTGGTCTCACTACTTTATGCTGTGTTCTGGTCGTGCTCGGAACACTACACTGCTTCTCATGTGATCAACTGGATCCATGGTTTTACGATACCACATGCCCAAATGTTTCTTCAATTGTAACAGATGTTCTCTCAAATGTTTCCCAATCTGATCCTCGCATGCTTGCAAGTCTCATCAGACTCCACTTTCACGACTGTTTTGTTCAGGTAAATATATTTTTCTGTCAAGAATACAAATGTGAATTTAAGTCTCACGTTAGATAGTGTCGTGTTTTTTCATTTAACTCCTTCTATAAACCTAACATCTTACTACATATAAATATATATATTTTGTATTACTAACAGGGCTGTGATGCATCAGTTCTTTTGAACGACACTGATACGATTGTGAGTGAGCAAACTGCACTGCCAAATAACAACAGCTTAAGAGGTTTGGATGTTGTGAATCAGATCAAGACAGCCGTAGAAAATGCTTGCCCTGGGGTTGTCTCCTGTGCTGATATTCTTGCTCTTGCAGCTGAGATATCTTCTGAACTGGTATCTGCATAATCATTTCACCTCATCTTACATTTCTCATAGTTTATAGAAAATGATGGAACTTTATAACATTTGAGTTGTAACAATTTTTTTTGATATTTTGTAGGCTCATGGTCCTACTTGGGAAGTTCCACTGGGAAGAAGAGATAGTTTGACAGCAAATCGAACCCTTGCTAATCTAAACCTTCCCGGTCCTAATTTTACACTCGATCAACTTATTTCCTCGTTTGCTAATCAGAACCTCACTGTCTCTGATCTAGTTGCACTTTCAGGTATGAATATTTATAACATGTGTAATGTGGTTTACACTATAAAAATATCAAATTTATGATTGAAAATATTTGATTTTTAGGTGCCCATACAATTGGTAAGGCTCAATGCGGAGTTTTTGTGAATAGATTATACAATTTTAGCAATGGGAACCCAGATCCTATTCTCAACACCACTCTCTTAGAATCATTGCGAGCAATATGTCCCAATGGTGGAGTTGGGACAAACCTCACCAATTTGGACGTAACTACTCCTGAAATATTCGATTCCATGTACTATTCCAATCTTCAACTTCAAAATGGCCTGCTTCGGAGTGATCAAGAGCTGTTTAGCACACCTGATGCAGAAACTGTTCCTATTGTCAACAGTTACATTAACGATCAAACTCTTTTCTTTGAAGATTTCATAGCGTCAATGATAAGAATGGGCAACATTGGAGTGTTGACAGGATCAGAGGGAGAAATTCGAAAACAATGCAACTTTGTGAATACAAATTCTTCTGCATTTGATATCTTTACCACCATAAATCATCAGAAGATGGAGTTGTTAGCTTAATCTAAATAAACAGAGGAAGATTAGTGTGGAAAATGTAGTGATTAAAGTTATAATAAAAGTTTTATGTGTATGCAGCTTGTGGTGAACGGTTTACGTTGGTACTTTGTATTCTACTCAAGCTCAATGGGTGAACAAGCTTGTACTACAGTCTTTTGTCGAAGAAATAAATGGCACTGTTTTTCATCTTAAAAAAAAAAGTATCACTTTCAAGTGCATTAATTATTGTTTGTAAGGGTAAAATTTAAGCTTAATTTAGTCTTTATAAGATAAGGTTTCTATTTATTTATATATTATGAAATCTCTTCATTTTTAGTCTATGTATATTCTTATAACACTGAAATATATATATTTTAAACGTGAAATTAGAAGAGATGATCCAACAGCAGTATGATAATAAATAAAATAATATATTTAATAAATAATCAATGTTTTAATAACAAGTAACAAAATAAGCTGAAAAAACGAATATTAATTGAATATTTCGACCAAAATTTGTATAATTATTATTATGAACAGTATAAAGTCTTTTTTGTTGACCAAAAGTATTTCAAAATTGTAAATAGTGTCATTAAGAATTATTATATATAATTTTACAAGTATCTTTTAAATAAACTCAATTAAAATTAATTAGTTTTATTTATAAATTCTGTAAGAAGCAATAATGCACCGTGGTCTGAATTTCAACATGCATTAACGAAGGTGAATTAAAAGTGTCGGTTTTATGTTGGTTTGAAAATTCCTCTGTGGAAAAAGTGAACCAAAGAAAGAAGGAAAAGAAAAAATTACTGTGTTTCCAAATTCCAAGCTAAATGGAAATTTTCGTCACTTCAAAGATTGATGCGATTGGGAAAGGTTTGGATTTTGACTTAAGGACAAATAAAGGATGATGCAACCAAATTTTCTCATGTGAGTGGGCCATTCAAGATCAATTTCTTGCATTCTAACAAGAAATGAGAGTATTATGAACTAACTTAATTTAACTTAATTTAAATTAATTGTTAGTTTAAATATTTGTGATTCAACAACAAACATCAATATCTCAATATAATAGATCCTAATATTGTACTGAGAAATAAAATATAAACTTAATTTAATTTAATATCATAAAATCAACTTATAAAATTAAATTTGCGTTTATTTTAACATTATAATTATTTTTGGTAGATTTAGAATTTCAAATACGGAAATAAAGACATTAATTATATCATAAATACATTAACTATGATAAGAATGAAGTAGAAGCCAAATATAGAGAATTCGACTTTCTTTTTATATCGTTTTGGTCCACTTTGATTTTAATGCGTTATATCTTGGAGCAAGTTTTCTATTTTATTTATCTTCATAGACTGTATGTGATTAGGGTCATTTTTTATACTAGTTGTTGATATAATGATTATTAAAATCATGCGTTGAGATCATTGATTGTTGACCTGGTTTTTTAATTAAAAGTTTATTCAAATTATTCTTGTTTGTTTGGGATGAAATAAGAAGGATGAGATAAAAATAAACATTTTTTAACATTTTATTTGAGAAAAACATACAAAAAATAGAGAAGTTATTCTCATGATGGGTGACCTATTAGAAAAGTTTTCTCTTTTCAACCTGTTGTCGGGCCGCTATCGGACATTCAAATTAATTTTCATTCTCACGCACGGTATGTCTATACCTCAATGTGAAGGGAGTGTGTTGGAAGTACACATCGACTAGAGATAATACAGGTGCAAACCTCACCTTACCAGCCGATTTTGTGGAGTTGAGTTAGACTTAAATCACTTTCTAATATGGTATCAGAGTTCCTTCCTTTTTTCATAACTTGGTATCAGAATTATTATTAGAGTCTATCCTTACGAGTTGTAAGTGAGTATTTATGTTTTCACCCATTATAATATATAATAAATAGGGTGCAAATATCACCTTACAAGCCGTTTTTGTGAAATACTTAAATACATGACACCTCATCATGAAAATGTGTGGTAATTACAAATTAAAGAGAGAGACTGAATAATCAATTATTAAAGATATACAAGAATCTGATATCACAAAGTAATATTCGTTATCCATTTGAAGCATCAAATTAGGTTTTGAGCATTGTTAAATCCAAACATAAAAAATGGAAAAACTAGCCAATATAAAAGTGGTACGTGTGTATCATTGAAGTTTCGTCCGTATTATAATAATCATCTTCGTAACAACTCCTTCAAATTTCAATGCCTAAAATAATAATTTAGGTAGAAATTTAAAGCAGCCACGTGGGTGTGATTTAGAGAAACTCGATCTCGATTTAGGTTTTAACAAATATATGTGGAAGGAGACAATGAAACAAATTATGGATAAGATAAAACGATGTCAATGATCAACAAATAAAAAAAAGTATATTATTCATAGAATTTATTTTACAAAAAATACTTCATGATTTAAAAAATATTACACTCGCATCTCTTTGCAATATTTGTTTTGAAAAATATTATAGCATATATCTCATTGAGAAAATAAAAATCACTACAAAATGTTGAAAAAACAATAATTACCCAAACATTTGTACGAAGTTCCACCCTCACTCAAAACATTTGTGCCAGAAACTGAAGTTTACAAACGATGATGTTACGTTCAAGAGAATTCAGGGTTGAATGTTGAATAAAATACTTACAGTAGGCTACTATACTAATAATTAAATACAATAAATAATTAATAATGACCCAAAATGGAGTGTGGCGAGTTTGAATATTTGGAAATAATATTATTATAGAGAACACTACGTAACATATATGTTAGAGTGTTCAAAGCAAATTATATATGGACCACTTATAGATTTATAATCTAAAATAATTACACCCAAATACCTAGAGGATTTAGATTGTTCAACACACACCTCCCGCTTCTGCGCTTGCCAAAAGATGTAAGACTATAAACTACCCAATAATATGAAAAGAATATCCATCCTACTTTTTTAAATATATTATGACAACAACTTTAAATTTCTCAGAAATTATCATTTTTTTTCAGAGTTTAAATCTATTTCATATATATTTATCCAGCATAAGTAGTTTTAAAGAAAATTAAAAAAAAATATTGACTAAAAAGCTATTCTTAAGATCGTTTTAATCATTTAACAGTACACAAAAATTACACATTGTTTACATATACATTCATTTATATATATATATATATATATATATATATATATATATATATATATATATGGCGTATATTATTTTTTTGTGTGCTGAAAATTAAATTTCACAATGTCCACACACAAGAAAACTTCATCTTGGTGAGATGAATGATGGTATATCCACAAAGCTGAAGTACGACTTTTTTTTGGTGGTAATCGACAAGAGTTGACTAAGCAATAAATGAGTCGATTAAGAATTGCAACACGGTAAAGACTAGCATTGCACCTTCCTTTCTTGATCAAGTGGCTCTTAGCATAATCTATATCTTAAATCATCATTTAGCATAAACAAACAACTTGTGTGAGAATTATTTCTAAAAATATATGCGTTTTGTACCAGATAACGTGCTCAACAGGAAGTCTTGTTCTTCGTTTCACAATTCAGGAGCTAGGACATGGCCATTTGTAGCTATAAATAGTGTAGCATTATGGTCTGTCTCAAAATACAGCAACACACAAAAACACTCGAGGGCATGAAAATGAGGTTTCTTTGTGTTGTGGTAACAGCCCTAGTGGTACTTGGAGGGTTACCCTTTTCCTCAGATGCACAACTAGACCCCTTCTTCTACCAGCGGACTTGTCCACCTGTGCGTCATGTTGTGTTCCGAGTGGTAGAGAGAGCTTCACAAAAGGATCCTCGTCTGCCTGCCAGTATCGTCAGGCTTTTCTTTCACGACTGTTTTGTTCAAGTATGTAATTTTTTCATGTTGAAACAACTATCAAATACTTGATATTTTTAAGAACGAATTAGAAATAAACTGATATATATGGTGTTACTGGTTTTGGCTTGCAGGGTTGTGATGCATCGATTTTGTTGAACAACACTGCAACGATAGTGAGTGAGCAACAAGCCCTGCCAAACAACAACTCCATAAGAGGTTTGGATGTGGTGAATGACATCAAGACAGCAGTGGAGAATGTTTGTCCCGGCGTTGTTTCTTGTGCAGATATTCTTACCATTGCAACTGAAGTTTCTTCTATTCTGGTACGTCTCAGAACTCATACCAAACTTCTTTTCACCTTTTTGAAGTTGTCCAATGATATAAAAGTAGTGTGTGATTTAATATTGATAGGCTGGTGGTCCTTTCATCAAATTTCCATTGGGAAGAAGGGATAGTTTAACAGCAAACAGAACACTTGCGAATCAAAACCTTCCTTCTCCTTTCTCCACACTCGATCAACTCAAAGCAGCATTTGCTGTTCAACGTCTTGACACTGTTGATCTAGTTGCACTCTCAGGTAATAACAAATCTTCCCCAATTTGCAGTAACAATAATAAATGGAAAAAGTGTTGAAAACTGATTTGGATGTGGTTCGATTTCAGGTGCTCATACATTTGGCAGAGCTCACTGCTTTTTCATTCTTAGCCGATTGTACAACTTCAGTGGCACTGGCAGACCCGATCCAACTCTGGACCCTGCTTACGCACAACAATTGCGCAATATATGCCCTCAAGGTGGACCAAACAACTTGGTAAATTTTGACCCAACCACTCCTGATAGACTCGACAAAAACTATTACTCCAACCTTCAGGTTAAGAGGGGTTTGCTTCAGAGTGACCAAGAGTTGTTCTCCACACCCGGTGCTGACACCATCGCCCTTGTGAACAGGTTCAGTGCTGACCAAAACGCTTTCTTTAGCAGCTTTGCCAAATCAATGATAAAAATGGGAAATATCGGTGTTCTCACCGGGAACAGAGGAGAAATCAGAAAACAATGTAATTTTATTAACAGAAGATCCGTTGAAGTTGATATGGGAACTGTGGCCTCCGAATCAGAGGAGGGTATGGTTAGCTCTATATAAATCAATTAGGAGGAGTTATGTCTACACTTCAAATTCTGTGATTCCCATGGTTGATAATAACGAAGCTATTGCCACTTTATTCGCATAAAGTGCCCGCAGCTAACCATGTTTCATTGTCGCATGTATCATCTCTGCCTTTCTTGTATTTCCAACTATGTTCTGTTCTTAGTATCAATTTCTCTTTTTCTTATCTCTTAAATTCTCCATTAGTTACCTTTGTGTTATGTTTAAAACCACATATGTTTCGTCAAGGAATTTATACAAATAATATAAAAATAACACACTAACGTTATAAACTAAGATTAAATATATTTTTTATCTTTTAATCTCCATACAAAATTAAAATTTGTTTTCATACAAAATTTTGATGTATTTAAGTTTCCAATTTTTAACAACAAATACATATAATTAATTTAATCTATGTTAATTTGTTTTTCGTATTTTGAAATATTTGTCATTTAAAAAAAAAAACTTTCAATACGATCATAATAAAAGATGATCATGCTTTTGTAGTGACATGCCGTTACAGTGGCATTCTGACTATCACAACCCTTGTTGTCTCCACGGAACAATATCAGAGGAACAAGTTCTTTGATATACGTTTTTCTTTTTATTATCATAAGTCCTGCGTTATCATAGCCCTATTGATCATAAAAAAATTCACCGTAATTAAATTAAAAAAATTATATGTATTTATTTTTTAAATTGAATACTGTCAAATTTTCATATAAAAATAATTCTAATATCACATCAAACTTAAAAAAATAAACATATATTTAACTCTTTCATAAGTTAAAATCAATTTAAAAAGAAATCAAAAGCCAAATACAATAATGGGAACTTTGTTGAGACAGACACATGCTAGAACACAGAACAAGGGTGGTTAATTATAGATTGAAATATAAAATTGCTCAACAACTTGCAAATTATGTTTGTACATGTGGTATATATTAGATTGAACAGAACAAAGCCTGCCCTCATAACTCTATCCATGCCAAAGTTCATTGCTACATTATGGTACCAATCACATATTAAGAAAATTAATATAACTAACATAATATATATATGTGTGTGTGTGTGTATGCTCTAAAAGAGAAACTTCGACGCAAAAATATATTTTACAATCTTGAGCCTACTATTTCTAGCCAAGAAATTCAACTTTCAACCTTACAAACTATAAGGAAATTTATGAATTGTCTGTAGTCAACTTACAAAACTTTCTCATGTTTTGTTTAAATTATGTACTCCTTATTACACAAATGTTTTATTTAAAATAAACAACAAATATATTACGTCCTTCTTTTTTTTCTTTAATTAACTTTTACTTTTTTTTCATTTACATTATTAATGCAAATAAACTTTAGTAATAAAAAATGCGCGGATCTCAATAACTTAAAAATCTTGTGTTCATTACACGTTTTGCTCTTCGGTAAATAAAGTACATCAATCAAATACTTTGATTTCAGATTATTGACTAAGATGAAATAAAATACATGTGCAGCAAAATCCAAGCAAAAATGTCTGGGGGTTTAGGTTGAAATCCTAACTGAAAGTTAGACAAAATCTACATTAATTAATAATCAAATCGACATTAATTAATAATCAAATCGACGTGTGGTTCTAGCAAGATGTTCCCAGAATCCCAGTTTGTACCAACTACTTAAACAAATTTAGCTATGAACGTTAATTAATTCCATGTACGAAGCACGAGCACTGTGCATCCAAACAAACAAGACCTACTAAACTAGGGTTAATTTCTTTATTATTAATTTCATTCTCCAAATTCGATGTCCCATTCAATAACTTTGATTTATTCAATATGTTTTTTTTTATGAAATAAAAGATAATTTAAATGAGTTGTATCCACAAAAACTATTGAAAAATTTGATAAAAGCACACTTAAATGAATTTCCTTATACGAGAATGATTTTTGTCGTTAAGGATTTATCATCAATATCTGCAAATTTACTAAAGTATAACAGGAACGTCTTTAGCAAGGAAAAATCTGCTAAAGAATGAATATACACTTAAGATTGAAGATAAAGAGAAGATAAAAAAAATAAGTGAGAGTGAAAAAACAGAGAGCGATGTGTCTTTCCGGAGGTGAAAAAAAGCACTTATTTATGAGTGTAGAAGAGTTACAGAGGAGTGGAAAAAATATCTCCTTATTGAGAAGAATAGTCCAACGTTCACAACCACCATCATGTGTGAACGTTTATGCAGTTTTTATAATCTATTGCAGTTGCATAAGCTATGTTGATTATAACAATAATCCCCACACATTGCAAAAGATAATATACGAAAAGAATGAAAAAAGAAAATATTTGATCTCATAGATGTAATGTATCAGAGTTGATATAACAATCTATATGAATCAGTCGTAGATCGAGAAACTTAACACACAATGTAGTTAGTATAGCAAGTTATATGAATCAAATACACTTGACATATGTCACGATACAACTCCATAATTTTGTATGTTATTATTATGTTACACTTACTAGGCCATGTATGTGTTTGATATTCATAAGTGTTTTAGAAATCATACCAATATCTCACGCAAGGAGCCCCACTCAACACCTATATAGTAAATTTCATCAAATGTATGATATAAATCATATATCATCCATAAGGGATATGAAAATAATTAAAAACTTTGTTTAAACTAAAATTTTTACACTATATAGAATTTTAATTATAAAAGTTTAAACTTTTAATAATACAATATCTAACACTTTTCACACATCACAGTAATTGACATAATTGATTAAAAAATCAATTTAGTGTTATCAGAACTAACAAGTAACATGTTCTTACCCATATGAATCTCATTCATGGGTTATCATCACTTGTTTATTTGCAAGTGTCTTAAATCTCATTTCTATAGATGTTTTTAAAATTATATTATATCATTTGTTTCTTTGCATGAGATATTAACATGATTTTCAGAGCATTCATGAATATCGAACACCTAATAACGTAACACAACAATAACAATAAAGATTGTGGAGGTGTATTGTGATTGATAAACCACTAATATGTGACAAGTGATTTTGGTTATAGTTTGCTATATCATATTATGTGTTAAGTTTCTCATATTTAAGACTTATTCGTATAATTTCTTGCACCAACTTTGATGCATTATATTTTATATGAAATTAAAAATATTTTTCTTTAATGCAATATTTTAAAAATTGTTGTGATAATTAATATATTGCAAAAGAATATAGCTTATGTAACTACAAGAAAAACTAAGGTTTAACTTTTATATATATATATATATATATATATATCAACCGATAAGATTGATATATATCTTTCTTTAATTAAGAATATTATCACGAGTTTGGATATGAAATAATACTGTTTTCTTTTTTATTAAGTATAAAGATTTAAAATAAATGAAACTTTTATAAAAGTTAAAATATAAATTGTAATACTTATAATATAAAGATGACACAAAAAGCAAGGTTAATAACGTGAACTCAGAAAGNTATATATATATATTCTGAGGGGACAACTAATATAGATAATTAACAACTAATAGATCAATAAAATAAACCATTAATCGGATAAGACTAGTTTGAATTAATTTACAGATTAAAGTTATATTGTATCGTGTTATATATAGGTAAATCTACGCGTTATATATATATATATATATTCTGAGGGGACAACTAATATAGATAATTAACAACTAATAGATCAATAAAATAAACCATTAATCGGATAAGACTAGTTTGAATTAATTTACAGATTAAAGTTATATTGTATCGTGTTATATATAGGTAAATCTACGCGTAGCAAAAAATACGATATTTATAATTTTTGGTTTAATTTTTTATTTTATTTTAATATTGTTCCTTGAGTATATGAATCTAACACGTTATTGAAAATATGTTATACTTTTGTAATGACCTAAAAAAAAGTCAAAAAAAAATACATTAAACGAAGGAGAGTCCACAAAATTAAATAAATAAATACAACATATTTTTTCAGATACCAGAAGTTAAAGTGACATTATGAAAAACTAAAAGAAAACGCCAATAATTGGAGACCAAATCCGTTGTTAAGTAAATTTTAATGGTAGTCAAATTAACTTTATCACGTGATCACTAATATAATATTAGTGATATCAAGTGTCGGTGGGATCTTGTTAGAAAATAGAAACTATGACATGAAATCATCATACTATAGTGTATTTTGAGACATATAAAACGAATAAATGATAAATTTGTAATTAAATAAAAAATATACAAATTGTGTATTAATGTTGAAATGAATTGGTAAAAGAAAAAGAGCATGGTTAGAGACAAGTTACTCGAAATGGGATGGGGTTGATTTTGTTGACCGAAAGGACCATTGAAAAAGAATGGTTGGAAAACTTAATGTATTCAATTCAGAATTCAGAAGGTCCCACGTTGCATGTTACTGTTTCACCACTCGTTGTTTCAAAAGCATGGTCGTTGGCAGACACCTTTACTTTAAGGTTAATAATGCAGACCTTATCTTTTCTCCAATATTAAATCAAAATATGTTTGGGACAAGATTTGAGTTTAACATTTTTAATATAAAAATATGATTTTACAGTATTAATAAAAATATATATCTTAAAAACAATTCAAATGATCGATCACTCATATTTAATAGAAATTCATTTTCAACTCTCTACATTTCATACATTTATTTCAAAATTTGTAGCAAAGATTCTAATGCAATAACTCTTGACGAAACACCATATAAAATATTTCAACAGTATTTTAGATCATAAATTCGAGTAGAAATTCTGAGAGGAGTAGGTACGTAGAATTGAAAACAATTTAACCCATACAAAGTACATAACGTCACTTTTTACTCAAAAATTTAAAGTAAAAAATTTGTAGATATTTTTTTATATTATGTTGGTTACCTTTATTGATTTTACATCATATAAAACTCAATCTTAAATTTCATTTCTAACATAAGGATATATTGATAAGCATGTATATTCATACTCCTCTTCACAATATTTTATTAATTTTTATTCAATAACTTAGTTTATATTTTAATTTAATATTTTATTATTTAAAGTTGTTAAAACTTTATTGAAAAATAAGGTTTCAAATTTCTATTTTATATATATATATATATATATATATCAACCGATAAGATTGATATATATCTTTCTTTAATTAAGAATATTATCACGAGTTTGGATATGAAATAATACTGTTTTCTTTTTTATTAAGTATAAAGATTTAAAATAAATGAAACTTTTATAAAAGTTAAAATATAAATTGTAATACTTATAATATAAAGATGACACAAAAAGCAAGGTTAATAACGTGAACTCAGAAAGAAAAAGTTACCAACAAATAAATAAATAACACTTGTGGAACCACCAAACCATGGACCATCTTATAAAAGGTTAAAACCATGAATAATATATTAAACCTACTTCAATAATCTTTACATAATACACAGAAAGTAAAAATAGCGTCTTCTTCCTTTTTTTTTTTTTCCTCTTAGACGCACCAACCCAAATATGCTCATTCTTAAAATAACATTATAACTAAATTTTTCCAGAACTTCAATAAAGGAAACCCAATTATATATTGACATTTATGCACTCGTAAGTATAAAGGAAACATAAATTTATTCTCTCATCATACGCTTCATTCAATGTTGAACAAAACAGTAATAGGTGTAACAAGTAAACTTTGTTTTACCGTAGCATTGTTGTAGATTATCATTAAGTTTATTTAAATTAAGGGTTAAATATTTTATATGAACTTTTGATTTTAGTTCTTATAAATAATTTATTTGTTTCATTTCTATAGTCTTAGATAATAATGACAATGAATCGTAATAATTTTTTTTTGAAGAAAACTTAATGAAGTATAATTTTTAGGTTCGAATGTGTTTTGGCTTGAAATGTATACTAATAAATTTAATAAATTTGAGATTTGATTGTTATATTTGTTGAGTTAATGATTTATTGTAAAAAATCATGTAACCTATCACTTTTTTTTATGATGATTTATCAGAAAAATCATGTAAAAAACTTAATGATTTATTCTTCCGAACAGAAGATATTTAATTGTGATCATAAGTTTATGTTGTCAAATTTATTTATTTTTCAGCTATTCAATTCATTGTATTTTGAATTATATTTTGAATATATTTTGTCTGATGGTGTGTTTGTTATGTGTGTTGATGTATTTAGTAACTTTTTATTTTGATTTAGCATATAATTAATTATAACATCATGATTAACTTGTCCTTGTTTTTATCTCGTACTATTTGATGTATGGATATTTTATAGAGGTTTGTGAAATATTGATAAAATTAGTAACAATTAGGCATGACGTTTTATCCCTTCGAGTTTTATGTCAACTCTGGTATCCTCTTTTTAAGTAATCAGTCTCGCAATTATTTGGGCAATTAAGTAACAAATTTATATAGTGTGCTCTTTTCACTTTCTATAATTTGTAACTCTTTCTATATTTTAAATTTTAATTTCAATATTTAAAACTTAAAATTTAAACATCTAAATAATACGAATATACAGCATGAAGGATAACAATCTAATGGATATATTCAACTTGTTGTGATGTGATTGAATCACAAAAAATAATAACGGTATTAATTTTATAAACAAAATGAAGGTTTATACCGCTGCAATCAATGAAGAATTATAACCTAATTCATAAATGCAAAACCATTAACAGATATGAAAGAACAAGACCTATTAATCACCACTCACAAATAAGGTTGTCACAACCTATATTCAAAATAAAAAGAAAAACGCCAAAATCACGAAAAAGATAAATTAGGCAGAAGAAGTTGTACAAAAATATTTATATTTTTATGTTTCAAATAAACAATTATTATTAAAATTCACAAACACCAAATTTGACTTTTCTGATTAATCTCGGTAGCATGATTGAAAACCTGAACCCACCAGCAGCGGATCATGAAACTGAACCACGTTCCACTTTTCTTCTGTCTCTTTAAATAGACCCAAAGCATTTGGGGAAGCTCACAAGAACATCACATTCACAGCTCAAAACACAAGAAACAATGAGTTCTTTCAGTGTTTTCACAGTGAAAGTAGCACTTTTCTGTGTGGTGGTTTTGCTTGCAGCATCACAACCCTTCTCAAATGCACAGCTTGATAACTCTTTTTACAGGGACACATGTCCAAGGGTGCATTCTATTGTTCGTGAAGTTCTCAGAAATGTCTCAAAATCTGATCCTCGTATTCTCGCCAGTCTCATAAGACTTCACTTCCATGATTGCTTTGTTCAGGTACCATTTCTCTTTTATAAATAAACCATCAATAATAGTCTTTGTAAATGAATAATCTATATTCAAAAATCTTACTAATCACTTTTAATAATCCATCAAATTTCATGCTGCTTTGTATTTGTTCACATGACAGGGTTGTGATGCATCAGTTCTTTTGAACAGCACTGATACGATCGTGAGTGAGCAAACTGCAGCGCCAAATAACAACAGCTTAAGAGGTTTGGATGTTGTGAATCAGATCAAGACAGCAGTAGAAAATGCTTGCCCTGGCATTGTTTCTTGTGCTGATATTCTTGCTCTTGCAGCTGAGATATCTTCTGTTCTGGTAACTATATATGCTTATCTTCCTCTATTCATCATACTAAATCATATACATCTCATATTAACTACTAATGTAGTTAAAATAAACAAATCTCGGGCTAAAAAATCAATTTTTTCATATATAAGAAAATAAAGTTAGTATTCAAATTTAATACTAATGCTTCTTACATCAGTAGAATCTGTATTTAACCTGAAGCTGATATTCGGACTAATCTTGAATCATATGAATCAATTTCACATACAAAACACCATTTAAGATAAAAAAATTTAAGAGTATTATTCTTATTTAATGCATATGTCTACTCAACTTAATTAGACTGATATCTGTGGATGTGGGCAAGTGAGTTGTTGTGGTGTTATTGTCAAGATTTTGATGGGTACTCCATAATGTCAGATCCTGTAGTACAATGAATCCTTGTACTGAGGTCAAAAATCCATCACACGATTTGCTATATAATATCTTTTCATAGACGGAAGAACATAGTGATCCATCTCAACAAAAAGTATCAAGATCTCTTATTTAAAACTGTTCAAGATTTATGGCAAAGGATTATGTAGTTCCCGTTAGGTGTTGAAATTTATGGTATTATGCAGTAGGAAGCTTCGTGTGCTTATAGTAATACTGAAAAAAATAAATAAAGTAAGTCTCTGTGGACTTTTTTCCAAATAGGTAAGTCTTCCTTTAAATATATTACCTTACCTTGCAATCATTTATCTTTATCTTACACACCATTCATAACTAAATATAATATAAAAATCTGTAAACAAAAAATATATTTTTCTATATAAGTGACATCTGATGTATAGCTACAAAGCATATATATACTAACAGAGGTAGCATCACTGTGTCTATCAATTATTTGATCATTTCGAAATAACATTTTATTTCAAAAAGTAAAGAAAAAAAATGCTTATAGATACTCGTTAAAATTAAAAAAAAAATTGTATAATCTAATTGTTTATAAGAAAAGTAACAAATCATTTTTTTAGCTTTTATTTTCGTAATGAATTTACATAACTATTGTTACTTTTAACATCAATCACATAAGTTCGATTTAATGAAGATAAGAAAAATAAAATATTAAGAAAATCAGACATATAATTAAGTAGAAAAACACAGTCCAGAAATTCAACTTGTTATAAAACAAAACAAAAACATAAAATCAAATGAATAAATTTATTTAAAAAAAAAGAATTCAAATTTATTATACTGTAAATCTGGATCTCATCATAAAGTTGTTTTTCAAGGACATTATCAACTTGCCTTTGACCCTTGAGCCCAAGTCTATAAATACAAAGCCCACATTTTTTAAATGTGTTCAAGGCTTTTCCATTCTCTCTATACTTGTGTTAAGTTCACCACTAGTTTTCTAAAAATACATTGACAGGAGTATTTAAAGGAAACAGTATTGAGATACATAACCAAAAGAATCTGTGGAAGAACTCAGAAAAAACAGGATGGAAATAACATAGTCCTATGTTTTATACTTTACACACACAAAAATCTCCTTGAGTTTTTAGTTAAAAGAAAATAGTAGTTTATCGACAAGTTTGTCCTTCTTTTTTTTATAAAAGTCAAATGAATTAATTTTAAATATTGTTTAAATTTATTAAGCAAATCCTATATTGTTTGTGTTGTTATTTGTTAGGCTCATGGTCCCGATTGGAAAGTTCCTCTGGGAAGAAGAGACAGTTTAAACGCAAGTTTTGATCTTGCTAATCAAAATCTTCCTGGTCCTAATTTCTCCCTCGACCAACTGAAATCTGCATTCGAAAGACAAAACCTCAACACAACCGATCTAGTTGCACTTTCAGGTATACAAATTTCTTGCATATTAAAAAACATATATTGAACAGAGTTGGTATAATGTATAATTCTTTTTCAGGTGCTCATACAATTGGCAGAGCTCAATGCAGATTTTTTGTGAATCGATTATACGATTTCAACAGCACTGGAAACCCTGACCCAACTCTTAACACAACCTTGTTACAAGCACTTCGAGCAATTTGCCCCAACGGTGGATCTGGAACCAATCTCACCAACCTGGACCTAAGCACACCTGATAGACTTGACTCTAACTACTACTCCAATCTTCAACTTCAAAATGGCTTACTTCGAAGTGATCAAGAGTTGTTTTCCACCACTGGTGCAGATACCATTCCCATTGTCAACAGCTTCAGCAGTAACCAAACTCTTTTCTACGAAAATTTTAAGGCTTCGATGATAAAAATGAGCATCATACAAGTTCTCACAGGAACACAGGGAGAGATTCGAGCACACTGTAACTTTGTCAATGGAAATTCAGCTACTTTCACTACTCTACCTACCCAACAATCTTCAGAAGATGGTGTTGTGAGCTCAATCTAAAAATATGAACCAAGAATGTTGTAGTAAATGCGATGCAGTTGTCATTAATAAAAGGTTTTACAGGAACATGCATGCGTGTGGTAATGTTGTGTCGTAGCAACCTTTGTATTTTGTCTGGCCATGCATAATATCCACTTATGAGAATTGGTTTGTTTAATTTGGAAGAAAAGTTATTTTTCACATGATAAATTTAAGATCTATAGCTCGATAAAAATAAAAATGAATTAAAAGTTTTATATTAGCATAAATAAAAAAAATTGAATAATGTATACAAGATAAAATCTAAAATCATTAAATCTTAAAATTTTATGTTAAAAATAGTATAAAGTATAAATAACTGTCAATATTGATAGCTAGAAACATGACCATGATGACATTATTGATATTTAGCTCGGAAACTTTTAGTGTGGACTTTTCATTATCTGGAAATATTGTACCTCTTGTTTAATCATAGTAATTACTCTTATTTTACTATACTAAATATAATTGATCTTATTTATAGTTAATGTCTAATATACAAAACACAATTAACCAAACAATTTTTATAAAGAAGAAATGTACCATTGTAACTATCATATAAATAATTGAAAATAGTAAATTTCATTCTACTTTCAACTAATCGCCTAGGATAATCAATTCCAATCTCATATAATCGCAGGAAAAAGAGGATTCTACCACGGATTATTATGAAAATAACATGAATTTTTAAATTGTTTTTCAAAAAGGGAGAATGAACACAGGCAAATAAAGTAAGTAAATAAATAAATAAAGGTAGAGAATTAAAGACCATAGTAAGGGCGTCTTTGTTAAATTAGAAAAGAGGGGGAAAGAAGTGAAAAACTAAAGCCAATTGCATCATGCACTCCGTTATTTTCTTCCTACACCTCCTTCAATTTTCAAATATGACTATTTTACTTTTGGAAAAGTGGCTTTCGGATTTTTATTTTCCGAAATAACATTTCCAGAACAAAATTTTCCTGAATAAAATTTTTGAAAAGAAATTTTAAAAATGAGATTTTCGAAATAAAATTCTCAAAACACACGAAATAAATTCTGGAACATATTTTTTGGGACAAAATTTTCAGAATGCATATAATACGTTTCTCATAATGAATTTTTTTTAATTATGAAATATGTTTTGGAAAGAGTTTTTTTTTTATAAACATATGAAATATTTTTTGTAAAAAACTTTTTGAAACGAGTTCTTTTAGTGTTTTATCGACGACAATGATTGTAATGGTGTGGTACACAAAGAAATTTAAGTGTTTTTCTTATATTGTAGGGTACAAAAAGAAAATTGAAAAGCAATTGCCAAAACTAAAAGCAAACTATGAGAAAAAAAATGGGAAATAAAAGGTAAAAGAATAATAGGAGTTTATTTTTTCACGGTATCAGAATTTTTATTATGTTTTTTATGACTTTTTATAAATATATATTCATATATATGATCTTTTACTATTTAAAAGTAAAATAATTAAATATACTATCTTTTATATATTATATTGAAATTATTGAACTAAAATAATTTAATTATGTAGAATTAAGTATTAGAAACACCAATAATTTAATTACAAGGTTAAGTATATTTTTATTAATTCAACTTACATCTAAAATTAGAATTTATCTCTCAAAAAGTATATATAAAACTCATTCATATACTTTAATAGTGCAGGAATATATTATTCAACGACATTAATTTTTTTAGGTGTTTAAAAACTATATTGAATGAATTAAAAAATGTTCACACATGATTAATATATAGGACGATACGTGTAATTTAAAAATAAATTTTTGGTTTTTTTTTTTACACTTTTTTTCTCTTTTTCTTTTTCTCTTTAATTTTTTTTCCCCTTTTCACTAGCTACCCCTTTAAATCAAGATCCATTACTTTAGGACTCAATAACCGACCATAGAGTTGAAAGAGGAAAAGAAAAAATAGAAAAATTAGAAAAAATGTAAAAGAAAAGAAATTATTAAAATTTTATCTTTAAATTACACGTGTAAGCCTACTACTATGTATGTTTAAGGTTGCCGAATGAGAAAAATGTATTCCAAATATTATTAAAGTACAATATAAATTTTATATTAAATTTTCGAAGATCAAATCTAATTTTAAAAACTAAAAATATATTTAACTTTAATTATATGTAAAATGTAAATGATTTTTTATTAGTAGAACTTTTTTTTATTCCACCGGATTTTAATTTTTTTTTAATTTTACTATTTTTGCGAGTTTTATTGCTATTTAAATATATTATAATAATTAAAATGAAACCCTTGTATAAAATTAAAATTTAAAAGGATATGAAATATTACTGTAAAAAAAATTTTAGCTTTTATTGTATAAAAAGTAAAATATTAACATTAATAAAAAAAATTATTTTTTTCTATTTTTATTTACTGTTTTAATTAAATATTTTTTATATTCTTTTGTTAACCCCTTTTTCCCTGTTTCACTTCTTCTTTTTTTAATTATCCACACACGTTAAGAAAGAAAAGAGACGAAAAATAAACAAGAGGAACATAATTCCCATTAATATCGTTTGTGATATTCCTCATTGTTCATTAAAAACATTAAATAAAGAAAATGTTGGATTTAGTAGACATGTAAAAGTATATATATTTCTTTACATAATCATGCATGCAATCTGAAAAATATAATCTTAAAATATATTTGTCTCTAAGATAATATTTTATTCTTAAGAATAACATTCTTAATTAAGAATATTATTTCAAATAAAATTAAATATATGAAATTGGAGGTAATTAGATAGAAATTAAAGTTGAGTTAACAAAATAATTTTCTTTACGAGAAAATATAATTTTCCCCTCCCAATGGAAAATAAAGTAAGAAAAAGTTTGGAATAATGTTAAAAATTAAGCCATTTTTGTTGTCGTTGAAGGAAAATTAAAAACAGTTAATATTTGGAGTCCTTAAACACAAACTATGTTTTGTTTTTGTATCGCTCTTAAACCCTAGTTTCTTCCTCTGTCTGCATCTCTTCTCAAAAACCCTACAAACACCCACTGTATCGCAAATTCGAACCTTTTGAATCTGAATCATGCCGCGAAAGAAGAAAAGCCATGACCCCTTCTTCACCAACGATTCCCGAAAACGCCAAAAGCCCAATGGCAAACTTGACCGCGACGATGAAGAAGATGCCGAGATAGAAAGCGATTTTGATGAAGATGGCTTCTTCGCCGGCGTCGACGACGGCTCCGGTGAGGATCAGGAGGTAGAAACAGGCGCGGAGGCTCGGAAGAGAATCGCACAGGACTATATCCAAATGGTTCGGCAAATAGCGCAGAAAGAGAAAGAACAAAAGGACGGTGAGGAGGATGAAGATGGTGATGGAGAAGACGAAGAAGGAGCAAGAGACTCTCTCGTAGCTCAGAAGTTGATAAAGGAGCAACAAGAGGAAAGTGGGCGCGTCAGAAGAAGCATTGCTTCAAAGTTTGTTTCATTCTTCACCAACTGTTTGTGTTTGGGTTTTAGATTTTGATGGAACACTAAATTTGTTTGTTTGATATTTTAGGGTGAAAGTAAGTAGCGATGAAGGGTTTAGGGTGTTGGTGAAGCACAGACAGAGCGTTACAGCGGTGGCCCTGTCTGAGGATGATTCGAAGGGCTTTTCCGCGTCGAAGGACGGAGTAATTATGCGGTGGGATGTGAACAGTGGGCAATTTGAGCGGTATAAGTGGCCCAGTGAGTCCGTGTTGAAATCTCATGGCTTGAAGGATCCGCAAGGCTCGGCTGCAAAGCAAAGTAAACATGTATTGGCTTTGGCTGCTAGCTCGGATGGTAGGTATTTGGCGACTGGAGGACTTGATCGCCATGTTCATATATGGGATACTCGTACCAGAGAGCATGTTCAGGTGATTCTTTATTCTCTCAAATGAATGGTAGGAATGTAGTATGAAAGGTGGCTTGCATGTTGCTGGCTATGTGTGTAGATAAACGTGTAGTTGGTTTCTTGTTCACTGATTGTTCGGATTGGACCGCATGTATGCGTATTTTGCTTCATTTTTTTAATAAAAATGTTTTACTGCTACTGTTGTATGTTTCGCCTTGCTTAGATTAAAGTCAATGAGAATTTTTGTGTTTTAGTGGATAGTGAACTTATTTGAATGTAAACAGGATCCTACACAGGGTTTGACAAAGTAAAATGCGAAGTAATTTGCTTCCTTTGATTTGTAGCTGTACACATTACAGTCAATGTTTGGAAAACCATAGGCCTTTGTGGGCTAATTGTGGATTGGATTGCTGATATTGAATTGTAATTGTTTTTACAGGCTTTTCCAGGTCATAGGGGCCCTGTTTCTTGTCTGGCTTTTAGGCAAGGAACTTCGGAACTTTTTTCAGGTTCATTTGATAGGACAATTAAGATATGGAATGTTGAAGACAGAACTTACATGAATACTTTATTTGGTCACCAAAGTGAAGTATTAAGTATTGATTGCTTACGCAAAGAAAGGGTACTAACTGCTGGACGTGATCGTAGCATGCAATTGTTTAAGGTAATCTTACCAATATATTAAGATCTAAGTATTTGACTATCAACTATCATGTATGTTAACTGTTCATTTATTTCTCATACTGTTGCTCTGTTCTTTTTTATCTTCGTGTGGAAAATATTCAAGTGATTAAGTAGAAACTTTTGCCATAACTACTTTTTTCTTGGGTTATTCCAATTTCTGTTTTAGACTTGACTTTTTTAACGATTGTTTTGTGTATTCTCCCTAATTTAGGTTCATGAAGAGTCACGTCTTGTATTTCGTGCTCCTGCATCCTCCTTGGAATGCTGTTGTTTTGTTAATAATGAGGAACTCTTGTCTGGTTCGGATGATGGAAGCATTGAGCTTTGGACTGTAATGCGAAAGAAGCCTATTTACATTTTGAGGAATGCTCATGCCTTACTGGTGGATAGCATGAAATCTGACCAAAAGGACAGTGAAAAACTTCCCAACGGTAACATAGGTAAACAATTATGTGTGTACAAGTTTCCTTGTAATCCAAATGTCTCAATATTGGCAGTTCCTTCAGCAGTTTGAATTACCTTATATCGAATAGAAAATACTTACGATGTTTGTAACATCTTTTGTTTCTTTTTTCTTTTTCACTTTTTTGAAAGTTTTTGTGATGGACGCACTACAATGTATGTGATACCACAGTTTGTGTAACAACACTTTTTGGGAATATCTCTCTTACAATATTTATTGCATGCTATAATATTCTCTCTTTTATCTCTGATGTATAGTGCGTTGTACTTATTAGTGTACGAGTATCATTTACCACTTTGAGAGTGTTGTTTTATCTTCTCCATGTTTCTGTATTCCCGTACTCATTTAATGTATGGTCAAGATATAGCAAAGAGCATCGCATTTTGCTGTTGGCTTACTTTTACAATAGAAATGTGTGAGTTTATAATATATTTACCCTTCTCTTAATATCCTAAAGTGATACCGTTGTCTTCACCATGCAGAAAATGGTTACCACCATCCTGAGAACCATCATTGTGCGTCAGTTTTCTCTTGGGTCAGTGCAGTCACTGTTTGTAGAAACAGTGACCTTGCGGCATCTGGGGCTGGCAATGGTTCTGTTCGATTATGGGCAGTTGAAAGTGATACAAAAGACATTAAACCTCTTCATAATGTGCCATTGGTAAGTGAACGGAATAGCAGTTAAACTCAAGTTACTTTTCCTAGATAATTTTTTCTTCAATTTTGATTATAGTTACAATCTCTGCTGAAAAAAAGGATTTTGCTTATTGTTTATTTTGTTCCTGTTGAATGTCGTTCTCTGTAGAGCCCTGTATTTTAGTGAACAATTATCTCCCCTTATGCACAAACCTTTACTCTTATGCCATGTGATGTATCGTTAAGGTTTCTCAGAATGGTAGATACTCAACATGGAAAACCTTGCTTCTTCCATTATATAGTTGTCAATTTGTACATAGTGTTTTTTTAGTTTTACATAAAAAGTCAAGTTTTTCTATTGAAGTAAAAATAAATTGCCAAACACGTAATTCTTTATATTTCTAGTATTGCATTTACATTTGCCAAACACTGGCATTTAATTAAACATTTTTGCATTATAGGTTGGATTTGTGAATACCTTGGCTTTTGCAAAATCAGCAGAATTCTTAATTGCGGGAGTTGGACAGGTGAAGTTTACATGCAACCGCCTTGCGAATATTTGATTAGCATATTTCTACCAATGAATATCCTGTTATTATCTCGATTAATTGTTACTCTTTTCCTGCCGTTCTTGTCACTAAAGAGTAATTGTCTGCAGGAACCTCGTCTCGGGAGGTGGGGAAGTAACCCTGAAGCACGAAATGGAGTTTCAATTCTTCCTCTTAAGTTGTGAGATGATGCAATGAAAAAATTGTACCTCCTCAATTTTGGTATACGAATTGTAACATTGAGTTGAATGTCCGTCCGTGATCTTAATTATATGTATCGGTTACATTTTTTTGTTATAAATAATTTCTTAGTTTTTGCATGTTTGTATATGATTTCAAAATTTTGGAATGGTTTCTTCTGCAAAAAAATATAAAGCTATTTATGTAATGGCTACAAAAATCCAGAATAAAAAACTCCCTTCCCTTGACCCTAATACCACCTGTTTCAATACAGTTCAATGTTCCAATGATCTAAAAGCCTTTTAGAAAAATTAAAAGTGTCATGCACTAATCCTCCTCGTTTCTGGCGGCTTTTATCTGTACTGTACCATCAACTCAGGCATTGTCGACTTATTTGTGCTATTCAGGAACTTAAGCTGAATTTGTTTGCGTTTTATACCGACATTATTAGCTATTTGGTTTGAGTCCGTTATTATCGGAAGAATTATAGTTAAAATAATAAAAATTCAGTGGATATATAGAAGACAATTAAGGTATTTTTCTTTCATACCATTATGTTCCTGTATAAATTTACCATTGAGATACTTTTACATCATCTCGTATTTTTGCATATCTGACAGAATGCCGATTTTATGATCGGGTGGGAGTTTGTTTTACACCATTTCTTTACCAGGACTTGGGTTTGACCAGAATCATCAGGTAGGAAATACGTTAATAGCATTAACAGTAGTTCATATTGTACGAGTAAAATCACTGAAGAAATTATGCCCAAAGTTGAAGACAATGCATTCAATCAATCTGTCATGTTCAGAGTAATATAACGTAAATACTGAAACACTACTCAAATGATCAATGCATAGAAATTCAATTTAACTAGTTAAATCCAACCAGGAAGTCTTTCAAAAGTTGATTCTGAAGCAACTTATACAATATACTGGGACAAGTCAATACAAGTTTCAGTACCCGAAGGTTCATGTAACAATGAAACGAATCTTGTTCATCTCAGAAAATTCGTAATTACAGAACGTCCTCCCCTACCCCCCATGTTTTGGTCTTGGTCCATTTTCAGTATGCTTTTGAGGTTCAACTCCTTATCAGCAACCATCTCAAGCTCTTCAATGCTAAAGATTCACATCATTTGAGCTTGGGCAAGGAACTTCCTATAAAAATCATCATACGAGGTTACTTTGAGCGATTGTAAAAGTCAAGCAAGGAACCCGTTTTCATACCGAAACACTCGGATCGGAGAGACGTATTTATATGAACAGTTAATACGAAAAGGGGGAAAATTTAGTAGCACCTAATTGGGCGAGCTAAACATTTGATATGAACAGGTGAAGAATCCATTAGCACCTAACAGTATGAGCTAATAAAGCCACATCAAACATTGAATTTATAGCTTCAGAAGTTGGTGGGAATAAAAATTTAATACTCCTATTTAAAAAAGCGTGCTGAGAGGTCTAAATGCTCTTGCCCAGCCAGACTCCAGGATGTACTTTTCCCACCTGATTAATTTTGCATGATTCGCTACCCAAGCCAGTTCACAGGAATTTACATTATCTATTCAAGTTCGACTCCTTTGTTGTTGTCAGTTGTGTCCTTGTTACTGTTTCCTCCAACCTCGGCGACTGACCCATCCGCAGAAGTAGGTGCACATGACCTTGGATTTTCATTTACTGTTTTAGTTGTCTCAGAGGTTACAATAGTGGAGTTATCGAGAGATGCTGATGGCAAATCAGTAGCTAACTGCTTATCCTTTGTCACTGCAACACTGGCTGATGGAGATGGTGATTCAGTTGCACCAGGATCATTGTTCCCAATTTCCCCATTCGGAAGAACATCAGAAGGGTCATTGGCATCTGAAGATTCCCTCCATTCAACCCACTCAACAGGTTTATCTGTCCCACCATGTTCTAACTTTGGTCCTGCTTCTGGAGAAGATGTTGCAGTGTCAGCTAACTCTTCATCCTCACCAGCAACATCATCTCCACTGGCTTTTACAATACCCTCCTCGGCATTAGGTGATGGAGAAGCAAGGGAACCGGTTGAGCGCTCATTGGCTACTCGATCTCTATCCTCCTCGAAAGCAAACCAGTTGGAATTCGTGAATAGAGATCCACTGCATATGCCATGGCATAAGGAATACATCCCAAGAATGTGAAGAAAAACTAGGCAAGACGTTCAATTCAAAGTAAAAAACTGACACGTACGATCAACAAAAGCACACCATTTACCTTTCATGGTCATCTCCCAACCGCAAAGAAGATATAACGACTTCTGCAGATTCATCATCAAAGTAGACATCCTGCAACATTCATATTCTGTTAGATATTTTATCATAATAGTAAATCAAACCTCAACCAAAAACCCTAAGACACATTAGTGATGTCTATCAATTTACATGAACATGAGAAATCAGCCCTAAAAGAGACACTCGCAGACTTGTATGATTCAAGCAATTAATTTACTCTGCACAAAGCTGCAGACAGGCAAAACTTATGTGATGGAGGAGTTAAAGTCATTAGAAGACACCCAAGAAAGAATGTTCAATCCATCTTTAAACATATTTATCTCAAGCATTAACCTGCACATATTCACTTCACCTCAATTCAAGACTGGATTTTATCACATAAAGAGGAAAATATTATACCTCATCATCTCGTTCAAGAGAGCCATGAACCTGAAACAAAGATACATTGGTCAGTAATCAAGAGCTATCGCATAGAATTATTAATGACAGAATCCGATAAGCAGTAGTATCACCACCTAAAAATTAAATCAGGCATTAGGAATTTATCATTCCACAATGCTGAATGAACAAATTGGTCACTACATCAGCTGGTCTAAATACTCTAAGAACAAACTATTAAGTGAACCCAGACTGAGTCATTCCATTCTCTGTGAATCCTTATATATATAACACACTATAGAAATAATTTCTGTAGGTATTTCATGTACTTCTGGCCATTATGAAAAAACAATTCTAAGGGCTTTGTGAAACCAACACCATATCAGAAAATTATTCTTAATAATCTCAGAAAAATTCCACATATTTCTGTTCTTCCATTCACAACTATCTAACAAATGACACTGCGAAATGCACATTCAGCTGCAGGCAGACAGGAGGTTCCCTAAAATAACTGCACTGTACCTCTTCAATGTCATCACTGTTGTAAATGCCATAACGGAAGGCTTGACTTAAGTTATTTGCTAATGCTGCTACATCATAGTCCCGGTCTTGATAATCATCCTCATCACTATCCCTATTTCTGTCATGTAACGCTGTTGGCCTCCTGTAACAACGAATTAATTACGAATCAGCAAACATGCCCAATACACAACCACAAGATGACCTACAATGAAGCTACATCAAAATACAAACAATCCCAACAATAATAAGAAAAGTATTCAGTAACAGGAATCAAGATCGTGCTCAAGTTTGTGGTTCCAAGCATGTATTTCATCACGTGACAGAGATCAGCAAGCATACGGTAGCACAGGGACTATGTATTCTGGAGGTCAAAGTTCTCTTGATTCAGTGAGCAATGATCTATTCCTCTAATCGGAGCATTGTTCTTCATTGAGAAAGGTATATTATACTCTAATGATTATAATGGTTGCTGTGACATTGTGTTTATGACTGTTAAGAAAAAATATTAGAATATAAATCTGGACTCCAAAGATTCCAACCACGACTTCTAAAAGCATGATGGCATTCAAGGAAAGAGGCAAATCTTTAATTTTTCAGCTCATTCAGATAGTGGCACAGCAGATTAACCATGGGATATAACAAGATAGTGCCAGTTAAGAAAAGCAACATACCCACACGCCCATTGATAGACATTCTCCACAGCATTGCGATTGGATAGAACACCCAAGTACCAATCTGTCCAATCACTATTTCCCTGTCAATTTAAGAACTTTGAAAATAAGTTTCAAGATTATGTAGTTTACCTTTAAAATTCATTTTGTTCAAGTACATGTAAAAAATCAGAAAATTACTTACTGGGAAAAGAAAGAGAATTGATCAAATATCACAACTAAGTTTAAACATTCAAAAATCATACCACAAAACTTGCTGGAGACATAGTAACAGACCTGCAAATGTTCCTGAATCACAGTGTTGTTATTCCCTAACTGGACAAGTTTGTTAGCTATACGGGTTAAGTGTCCTATGCATCCTATCCTAGGTGCTGATTTTCCCTCGGCAGGTATTGTTGCCTGCAAGAAATTTGCAGAAATAGAACATTTAAAATATTCATTTATTCCAAACGATTTTTTTTTAGTTTCCATCAAACATTGTATCCAAATCATAGAGCAAAACAAACAATTCTGCAAAAAAATTATGCAATACAATATTTTTGTGCATAAGGGGCAAGAGGAACCAAGTACCTTGTTTGTATCAGCTTCCAACGTGAATTGCTTTTCTGCCTGAATAATTTTCCCGACAAAATCACAATGATGGAGAAGATGTTCCAGAAGAGAAGAATTCTTACTCTCCAAGCAAGATGTTATAATGTTTTCCACATGGTGATGCAAAAAGTTATTGTATGGGTACCTACCACATTCAAACATAGTAGCAAAGCATGAGATTAAATGACAAGGCACAAGATACCAGAATTGCAAAACTTACTCAAAGAACAAGTGTATAATTCTTTGCACTGCTCCAAGATCAATCAATTTCTTCTCAGCAGCTTCACCACCAACAGTTACTAGGACTGATATGAACTCTACAATCTGAAAGAATAAATGTTCAGTTAATATTACTTATGGCAAAGCTACAATATTACTTTTCAACATCTTCAAAGAACAACAAATTTGAAAAAAGGCAATTACTTGTGAAAATACCTTCATGACAGCACATGTTCAAAACTAGTCTTCGAATCAAATATACAAACGGGACAATTTCAAATAATTAGCTTACCTTTAGACGATGTTTACCAAGAGGTGGTTGTAATTTGCCAAAAGTAGTTAGCAAGAGATTTTCAGAAGAAGAAACTTCTAATAGCTTGAGTAAATCACCTGCAGAGTAAGGTAGATCAAAATTTTGTTCTCCTTTAGACAAAGTAAAATAAAAATTCAGATAAAAGAATATACATACAGACACAAATGGTCTCACGATTATGTTTGAATTAATTTACCTAATTGAAGTGAACTCATTTTACAAATGTGAAATGAAAATTATAAATCAGTGTAACAGGAATTTTACATGCTAGATGTGAGTATAGAATTTATTTCTTGCTTGAGGGAAAGGGATGTTTTTTTATTAAAACGGAGGAGAAAGATCTAGAAAGCCAGAGAGAGAGAGAGAGAGAGAGATAAAATAAGGAAATTGGAAAGAAACAAACCAATAAACCCCATGAAGAGTGTTACAAAACACTCTCTAACACACTCTTCTATTGATTAAAATTTATTGATAACTACAAATCATGAGATGTTCACTAAATAAGGATGTGGAACCAAAATGTCAGTGATGTCCAATAAACTCAAACCCACAAGAGTTTGTTCCTCGCACTTTTCTTCTCCCAAAAAACATATTAAGCCATTCAGAAGTCTTACCTAGGCTTTCTAGCATGCCTTCAACAGTCTCGGGATTTGCAGTTACACTAGATCCGTTAGTCATTTGTCGATTATATGTATAATAAGCTCCAAAAGTATGTCTCTTGGGGTCTAACAAAGATATGCATACAGATAAGGAGTTTACAAGAACAGATTTTGGCCGAGAGACTTCCAGGGCATGACGGAATAATCTTCCTATAAAGCTGCAGATATATGATGAAAAATGTTGGTTAATGAAAACGATGCATAAACTTCCAAGTGATGAAAACTAATCTAGGATTGCACTCATAACAAAGAGCAAGTCCTCAAACAAATCTACCTAGGACTGCAGACTTTTGCAGAAAGCCCTGCAGGAGCAAATCGTGTAATAGCACACAGAGTTTCTGCTGCATTAGCATGTACTTCTGGAGAATCCTGTAAAAGCCATAGCAAAAGAATGTATAGTCAGTGAAAATGTATTGGCTGGCCTTCGTAATAAAGAGAATTCAGCTTATACACACGATCCTTACTCTATTTATTGTACGTGTTTACTATATTCATCTTTATAGGTTATAAGAGTTTAAGGAGGTTTTGTGAAGTGTATTATAAGTAGTATAAGTAATACAAAGATATCCTTATGTGCCAAAACATTTAACAGCCTAAGTGAAAAAAAAATTGGCATTGTATATTTGTACTAAAATTCCAACAACAAACATTATGACAATCCAGACAAAAAGAACAGTCTAAATGCATCACAAATATATTTTGAATTTAATCTACATGATTTCTTGCTCTTAACCTAAAAATTGTGCACTTTCATAGTTAAGTTGGGTTTTCTGATCTAATTAAGTTTTACAGATTTCCAATAGTAATTCAAGTAATATGTTATTAGGCCTTGATTCAAGATTTTTATAAAATTCCGTTATTCCTCAACTAATCCTTATAAACAAAAATTTAACATACAGGAAATAGTTGTCAATCCCAAATGATCGTGTGAAGTGGCCAACCCACTAAATCTCATTGTGGCTAGCAGGGTGGCCGCTGTTGTAACCAATTAGAATAAGAATAGTAAATGAGGGTAAAAAAACGAAAAACAACCGCAAGGACAACACAAGGCCAGGCAGCAGAGGTAATGTCAGCTGGAAACAGACAATTTTTCCACAAAATTGCCAGAGAAGGGTGGGTACTTGGGGTTGAGCATGGACTGGGTTGAGTCGGGTTCACCCTTTATCCAACCCAACCAAACCCAAAATTGTGACCCAATACCCTAAATAAATGAGATAATACTGGGTTAACCCATATCTGTTACACAATATACAAATTTTAACATTGCAAATATTTAAATAGTAGAACATAAGAATAATAACTTAAATTAATCTATATTTTAAAATAATAAATATAGGGTTAGGATCTATTTATATCAAGTAGTCAAACATACTTTCAATAATTTTTTATAGAAAGCAGTTTTAATCTATCCAAATATTAAATTTCATATTCTTTTTAATTAGATCATGTATCCAAAACTTCATACAGTTTTAAAGCTATTAAGAATTTCTTTACATCTCTTCATTTTAATGTATAATGATATTCAACAGTTTGATTGATTGAATTTGTGTTCTATAAAAAGTTATTGAAGGTGTAATTTAGATGACTTTTTCGTCAGGTGTAAAAATTCTAACCTATAAATATAATATCACGTTATACAAAATTTTCCAATATTAAATAAAAAGGTTATTACTAATACACAATTATTCAAAAAAAAAAAGAATTGAGAGAGAATCTTCTGACTAAACCATGTGGAAACGGCTAGAAACACAATCTAACCTCATCCTTAAAAAAATATCGTTTCTGCTTTTAAAATCCCAACCCGCCCAAATCAACTTTGGGTCAAGGCTAGCAGGTTGGATCGGGTCATGCTCACCAATTAACAAAGAGCATGCAAGTGACTGTGAGAGGGCTTCAATTCTGATTCAGAGAGGGGGAAATTCTTTAATTGAACACCCCCCCCCCCCCTCCCTGCTGGAAATGAGCCTCTTTCCTTATTAAGTACACTTTTTCAAAACACTTCAACATCACTCACTCACTCCAGCTGCAATTTTCCAGGTTTTTGTCTGGCTAGTGTCAGATCTTGGACCATGTCTCCCCCAAACCTTTCTCTCTAAGTTTTTAAAGTAAATACATTAAATTATAGTTTGGCACCTGAAAATTCTATTTCAAGCTCCCCCAACATTATTTCAAGCTTTTGACTTCACCAAAATTTTCAATGAAACTTTGGCACTGTGCCAGGCTATTATACAATCATTAATGCATGTTCCAGCCGCTTCACAACATAATTCAGCAATAGCACCCATTATATGGCTTGTATTAACCATTTTTAATTCCAGAATGGTTAATACAGGTCAAATGAGGAACCATGATTTATTATTAAAGTATAAAGTAATAAAAAAGACAGTGACAAATAAAACTTAAAATCATATGTTCCATATGATAAAAGAAAATCATACAGCATCAGTGTGCACATATTTAATTCACTTATTGACCTCACATATCAATTTAAAGAATTCCCTCTTACTTTTAATTCATCCAAACTCTAGCAAATTTAAATTTAGAATTAATAACATATCCAAATCCCCACTACAGACTTCAGAAAACTGATGATACTTACTGAAGAACTGAATTTATCTGCAATCATCTCAAGCACATTAGAATCTTCAATCCACTGCATTGCATTCACATGACTTACATACATATGTTCGTCAGCACCAATCAAACGTATCAAAACCTGGTATTTCAAAGAAAAAATTACCATTAAAATTACAAATATACAAAAACACACATGCACAGAATAGAGAGGAAAAAAATTCACACCAATGAAACTAATTGATTCCCAAATCTAAAAATACTAATTCCCATGCAGGAGTCTAGGCATTAAATACCAGTAAAACAAAGATTTGAACTTACAGCAGCAAAGATAACCCTTAATAGGCAAGTATAACAATTTAAAATAAAATAAATGCGAAAAACCCAACCTCCATGATAGACGTGATTCCAATCAAGTCAACTAGTTTCTTCACAATTTCCCGGTGAGCCTGGTTAGCCACAATGACAACAGAACAGCAAACTGATAAGTGCAACCCAATGAATGCTAACACATCAATGAAAACATAGTAAATTAAACAAACACCCTCAATGTTTATGGAATTATAACAACACCCCAGGATTTTGTAGTTCTACACAAACATCCCATTTGTTTTAAAAACATTACAGTCTCCCTTTTTACATTACGCATACACCCTTTTTAAGTTTTAAAATCATTACATGTCTTTAATGTCTTTATGTTTTTAAACACACAAGAAGTCCATTTTACATTACCCCTTTCACCCCATTAAGGGAGGACATTGTAACAATGAAAAAAGCAGAGGGTGTCAGCATAGTTTTCCAAAACCTAAAATTGTAATGTAGTCATTCAGTCCATTACTAAAACATATATATCACCAGGAAATATTCCTCAAATTGTTCCATAAAGTAACATTCTTTATTGTACACTTCCAATTCCAACACAATCACACCTTTTAGTTCAGTTGTGCTAATATAATAGCCATGAGAGGAATGAGAAAAATCTGTAGGATATCTTTCACATTCACATGTAATACACATATCACACTTTCATGGTGGAGTCGTTCTAAAAGCCATAACAAGATTGAAGTTTCTTAGGTATTTTTCAATTCACAGACTCAACATCTAATTGTACATTTGTAACATTTAAATTTAAAGGATGTCACAAATCAGTGAGTCTTGCCTCAACTGATGTATTCAATATACATACAATGAGAAGTATAACCAAAGGAAAAAGCATCCAAATCATGCCCTTAAGCTAGATACAGCCAGAAAGCAGCTTTAAAGCTGTAAAACAAACAATAAACTATTATAACAATAACCATATGTGCAAAGTGGAATAAGAGAACATACATTTAATATGACCCCTAGTTAAACTTACAATGAAGCAAAGGCCAAAGTCCACAATCAAAACAAAGAACACTACCTGACATTACAATGTAATTGTAGCCAGCCACTCAACATTCAACCACTAATCTCAATACAACAAAACAAGCACCATAAAAGACATTTCACAACACACTCCAGACCTGACCTGACTAGTACTGAATTTAGATTATATAAATGCACCCAAACAAATCCCTCGCCTCCAGACCACATAAGCTCCTCGAAAATTCTGTTTGAGGTGCCTTGCCAGGTTGGACAGGTGTAGAAAATAATTGCTATAGAAATCATTTATGTATTTGAAGCTCCAAGATGAAAGTTATGTGCAGAAAATAACTGCTAGCAGTTAGTTTTATATTAGGAACATCAAGATGAAAATTATATGTTGAAAAAAACTGTTGGTAGTTATGTATTAGCAGTACATATCAGATAATAGGTTATGAAATAATGTCTCTGAAGTTATTTTCAGCATGTGGTCGGTGAATACTCTCTGCGGGAGGCCTCGGCCTCTGGGACAGCAACTGTATATCTAATTTATGAAAGGGGAGACTACTTCTCTCTGAGACAACAAATGTATTGCTGTGCTATCTGATGTCAATTCCCAACAGTATATTTTTTTTTTTCAATAACACTCATGTTAGGCATTACTATGTACTATGACATCTCAGTTAGGCTCATCTCAAAGCACACCAATACTTTGCCATCACATGAAAAATATTATTAAAAAAGAAAAATGATAACACAAAAACATGGAGTGATCAAACCAAACTCATGCACAAAAGATATTATTAAAAAAGAAAAATAATAACAAAAAACACAGGGTGACCAAACCAACTCTCATGTACCATTTTGTTCAAGAGTTTATATTTCAAGAATCATGGTTTGTCACCACTAGGATGATCAATTGTTTCACAAACATTTTTTGGAATAGAAATGGGAGTCAAAGAGAAAACAAAAGAGAAATTCGACAGAGATAAACAGTTATAACTCAATTATAAATAGGATAAGGATTTGGAGTGGATTGAATACCTACCCTAAAAGGTATAAACCAACTAGAGTTTACATGGTATTAGACATTTACATGAATAAAAACAGGTTCTCCATGTAAAGTTGGATTATTTCTTCGGGGCTTGAGCTGATCTGTGATAGAAGGAGGTGAAGAGGAATCAACAAGAATGTTGATTGAAGAAGAGGATTCATCTTATTATGGTTAGGAGACTCATGATGAGGAACCAACAATGGATAAAAGGACGGGACAGGTAAAACCTATTGGATAGTGTGTAAGCCTTGTAAAGAAGAGGTAAAGAAGAAAGTTTCTTCAAAAAGATAACATCAAGAAACATCTAACATCTTTTAATGTTTGGAGAATGGCATTGGTACCCTTTCCAAAGACAAGAATCGAGGAACACACATTTGATAGCTCAGGCTAAAAGCTTATCCAAACCTAAAGAGACATCAAGAACAAAACAAATACAACCGAAAACCCAGGAAAAAACAAAATATAACTGTTTGTTTCAAAAAATTATAAATTTAGGAATTTTATGTTCAAAACAAGAGGAAGGCATTCTATTTATGAGAAATCAATCCCTATTATTCGTGAACAAGAATGCAGATCACAAAATATAATCAAATACAGAGAAGATACTTGAAGATATTCCTACATAATAGTTACCTATACATAAATTGGTGCATATTGTACATTTAGAGAGGAAGATGAGGAAGAAAGGATTTAGAGAAATACGAGAAGTGACTAAGAAGGTTAGAAAGCAGACTTCAAAGAGTTTGTATAATATGTTTTCCCTTTTCTACATAAAATCTCTAAGCTCATGTTTGGTTGTGGGGAAGATCGTATAATGAATTCAAGAAAAGGAAAGAATAGTGCGGAACGGTTGTGGTTTGGATGAGGGAATTGTGGAAGGAGTGTTCAGAAGAGCAAGGAAGACAAAGAAGAAAAAGAAAGTAATAACTGGTAATTTTTGGGAGATGGGTGATGTAAATGTTAACAAAATAGGTTGTGTATGGAGAAAACAGGAGTATGAACACTTATGGTAGTGTAGATTCGTGGTTGAGTAGGGAGCATGGAGTTTGACAGAACAGCTACTCCATTTTGCTTACGAAATTTATTTTGCTTGTGGAAACTTGGTTGAGTGTGGAAAAAATATATTATGATATGACATATTATGACCTCACTTTCCTCAAGTTTCTTACCTACTTCTCTTCTTTTCTTCTCTCTTTCACTCCCTTAATTTATTTCCTTAAACCAAACAAATGCTAATTGTGGGCGCTGGCCACTAAATCAGAGAGGAGTGTGAGAGAACAATTTCTTACACATACAAATCTGTATTTGTTATCGATGGCTTATTAAATCAAATAACAGACTTGAGGAATATGAATCAATAAAGCAATAGCACAGCTCTGTTTTTTCAGAATCAAGACATAACCATAATATAATGTCATCAAAAGAGGATGATATAAAAAAACTTTGTTCCTCAGACCAACCAACTAGTGTTATTTACAGAAATGCATTATTGTCTGCAATAATCTTTTTACACAACAGTTCAATGTGTAACCATACAGCATGGCAAGAAGGATACGTCTAAATAAAATAAATAAGTTGTGGACTTACTTGAACATATTGCATGAAAGGAACTGTCTTACGTAGCAACAGGCATACAACTACCTAGCAGCATAAGAACTTAATAAATACAAGGGTCCAGATTATTCGTAAAAGGAACTTTGAATTGGAAAATAATTAATTTAATTAAAGGAATGGAAATGCCTGGTCAAGTTGACGGGATTAATTTTTAAGTCATTTTGGAGTCAGAGAGCAAAAGTTAACTCTCTAGTCAACAGACTTATTTCTGTGGGCAAGTTCAACAGTACCCACCACAAAAGAAATTATGTTGCCTGACTAAACAGGCAGTGAGCTTCAAGTTTTAATAAATGGGTACCTTGCTAAAATATCCTGCTAGTAGGTTACTGTGGGAGTGATTTAGATCCAAAAAGGAGAACAACAAATTCATCAACTGCCAAAAAGGAATCAGGTAAGCACTACTTCAAAACATTAACCAAAAAGATTTTAAAAGTGGTTGATGACTTACTTCCTCATCCTCTATAAGAGTTTTGAGTATGATATCAACTTCACAGGTAAATATCTCACAAGCAATAAAGGGAAACCTGTTAAAAAATTATAGAAATAAGGTTCCACAGAAAATATCCACTAAAAAGGAAACTTAGTCAATCTTCATTTTGGACATCCTACTTAAAAGATCGCTTCTTTTCAGCATCCTCTGGAGCTTCTTCAATGATGTATCGTATCAGTTGTTCAACCTGTGGTTTTGCAGACAAACTGCAGCAAACAACATTGAACTTTGTTCAGTGCAAATGAATTAAAAGGGTAGTGTGGTCGGACAATCACACAATAAGAAACGTCATTTGAAAATAACAAAGAGAATAATTGATTCCAAACCCCAAACGCAACTTTGTTATCAGTATCCAAGCCAGGAGAATGTATAATTTAAAACCTAGTGACCAATTATCTTAATCTTTTAAACAGACTTGGGAAAAATTAGGTGTGCAACAAATTATCTTAATCTTTTAAAATAATTCAGAAATCAGAGATGAACCAATTTTATTTTCATCTTTAGAAGATAAAGATACTGGGAGCTGCACCAACGAGACAACCCTTGCCCTAACAATTAACATAGAATGACCTACAATTGCTCAAAGTCTACAACTTTAATACAGTGGGAAGTAGGAATGTCTATTAAAAACTAAGCTCCATTCAACTTTTTTTCATACTTATATTATTCCTCTATATGAATATTAGCCCTTATTTTTTCCATTCATTGATTTTAGCCCCTCAGTTTACCAATAACATGATGTCACTATAGGAACTTTTTGTCCAAACTACTTGTGAAAATGAATGTTCCGTAGAAACATCGTTAAATAGTATAATCAATGACGATCAATGCATCTTCAATGGAAAAATTCAATGTCACTCACTTTAGTCCTTCATATGACTTTTAAAATAGCAATTGTAAAAGTTAACATAGTTATAATATATTTCATTTGAATTCTTAATAAAGTAATTCAGGGGGAAAATCATATGCCATGCAGGTAGTAAATTGGGGGCACTGATAGGAACAAATTGACAACACAAGGACTAAAATTAAAATAATAAAATTACAAGTATTAAAAACTCGTTTAACTCTAGAAATACATATTGTTTCGCATCAATTTGAAGAAATTTACTGTCAAGGTATCCATCAATTTGCATACAGGGAGGTATTTTAATTTCTCAAGGAAAATGTGCCTTAATATCTTAAAAGAAATAGGCATGATTGATTGTAGAACTGTGAATAATCGTATCAATTCAAATCAGAAATCAATAGCAAAGAAAATTGAGCCCTTCTCAAACCCAAAATATCTAGAAAGCTTGCTCAAAAACTTAGTGATCTCATTCTTACTAGACCTGTCTTTGTACTTGGAGTGGTTAACAAGTTTATGCAAACTCCTCGACTTGATCATTGGAATGTTGTTTTTCGCATTCTCAAATAACTAAAAAAGCTCCGTGACAAAAGCTACCTTTTGAAAATAAGGCAAATACTCATATGAATAGGTATTGTGATGTTGATTCAACAAGATCTCCTAAAGAGATTCGTTCCATTAATGGATATTCTGTTTTCATTGAAGGTGAAATTGTTTCTTGGAATAACAAGAAACAAAATGATTGCTTGATCTAGTGTCGGATATGAGTATAGGACAATGACATCACTCACTCGTAAACTTTTGTGGATAAAACAATTCCTTCAAGCAGTTTAGTGAAGTTTATCAAATGAGTGTGTATTGTGATCACCAGATAGTTATTTTCATTGCTTTCAATCTTGTATTTCATCTAAGAATTAAACATACAGAATGTAATTGTCATTTTGTTCAATAGAAGTTGTTGAACAAAGAAATTTGCATGCAATTTGTCGGCTTCAATAATCAACATGCAAATACTTTGTCTAACTCTTTGGAAGACCTCAAGTTCAATTATATATTCATGCTTGGTACATACCATTAGTATACTTCTGCTTGGTACATATAATTTGTATACTCCAGGTTGAGGAAGTGTTTGATTGTTTAACTTGTTTAAATAGTTTAACTTGTTAGATGAAGTTAACTTATCTTTTATATTAGCTATTGGCTCTATCATAGGTTGTTCCTATCTTTTTGTGAATCTTTGTCATAAGAACCCATATAAATATACGAATCAGCTAAGAGATGAAACAATAAGAATTATTTCCATATTTTCTCTCTCGAGTATCACTTAGGCCCTGTTCTCTTGAGTGGATTTGAGGGAATGGATTTGAGAGGATTTGAGAGGATTTGAAGATAATTTTTTTTATCGTTTTTTTGAGCGAATTTGGAGGTAAATGAGAGTGAATTTGAAAATAAAATTTGTGAGAATTAGTATAGAATTGTATTGACGTGACATATTAAAAAAAATTATTTTTAAATTCACTCTCATTTACCTCCAAATTTGCTCAAAAAAACTATAAAAAAAATTATCTTCAAATCCTCTCAAATCCCCTCAAATCCATTCCCTCAAATCCACTCAAGAGAACAGGGCCTTAGGATTGGTCCTTCTATTTCCTTATTTTCCATGCTTCCTTATACTTCATATCTACTTCCTTGTTTAGCCACAATTACGATTTAGCATTAAAAAAAATTATTTCTTCATGTTTAAGTATTAGTGATACATCATAACCATATAACATTAACTTCAGAGAATTTAGTCTCTACTCTCTTTACACAAAGCCCTAGAATTTCACGCTATACATTTTATATTATTATTATGATGATGACTAAATGTAGGTTAAAAAAGACATTTTCTTATAAAATTGTACTTCCAAACATTTATAGTAATGAAATCATTTTCCTTACAAAAATAACAGATAGTGATTCTCATAAGTTTACTATGATGAAAACCTCATGCATTGACCATCCTTTTAACATTAGTATGAGTTAATACTATAGAAGAATTTCTCCATCCTTTCTTCACTCTCCTGATTCCTGAACAAGAGTTACTTTTAGACAAAGGCAAGTAAATGAGCATTATCTCAGTGGTTAGTTATTTCACAATAATAAATATTAAGACATGCAAAACGGGTATATCTGTTAACCCCTACTCCTTATCACCGCCAAGGTGACAATTTTTTAAGTTTTGAATCAGAGATTATCAAAGAAAAATTAGGATAAAATGGAATATCAAAGCAATATTTTGTTTCCTAATTTAATTAATTGCACAAGTCCAAATTGTTAAAAAACAGAGTGAGAGGCTCGCTTTAGTGGATTCAAGCACGTCACTTGATCCCATCCTCACCTGTAAACAATAATATTAATCCAAAAAGTACTTGTTCATAAATCAGCTTTTATGATACTGATAAATTATAATTCACTTGTGAATGATAGTTTCTGAAAAAAAACAGAAAACGGAAAGCAACTGGGTGCATGTTTGGAACATATTTTTGGATGCTAAATATACTTCTAGAGTGAGATATTTTTATCTTTTATGCAAAACATTTTATAATGGACGCAGTAGTTATCAAGGCATGCACTAAATAATAAACTACAATAATTTCACATATGAAAGATATTTGTAATAGAAGAAAAGAAGAGGATTACAAATTTATAAGGCGACTATTGAGAGCTTTGCATTCCTGAATAATTTCGTCCTCATCAAGAAGTTCATCCAAAGTAAAGTTATCCCTGTCCAAAATGGTCTCCACCTGCAATATAATACACCAAATAAATAGTAAAATCCCCATACCAATAGGTACCTATATTACTTCAAAAATTAAATTAAATAAATCTATTCTGGTCCCCAAGAAACAGGCAATAAATATTGGTTTCAAGCCTTTACACACCATCACAAGGGACACCCTCACATGTATGCATAAGAATTGAGCACATTCAATTTTTTTTTCTCACATCTTTTTGTTCTCTAACATGCTTCTCTTTTCCATTTTGGATGACATAGTGTCCTCTCATTACAGATGTTACTACTTAAGTTTTTTTTCTACTAAACTTAATTTTACAATAAAAATAATCCTCAAATTAATACTTTACTAATCTAGGACGGAAGGAAGAGAAAGAAGGCATAACTTAGTAAACACTAATATCAAAGAAAATGTTACAAATGTAGAAGTTACTTGTGAGCAGTGGTACAATGCCTTCTAACAAGTTCCAGAAGACAATAAGAAGTCCTCCTAACTACAAAATAACAGAAGAACTAAAAGCAACGAAAACAAGCCCTCCAAAATCTTCCCCTATCCATTATGGAAAAAAACATTCAAATCTGTCCAGCAACAATGCATATAACACCAAACCCAAGGTCAAGAACAGAAATCTATATCATTAAAATTGAGGACAAATAAACAGCATTAAAATGTGGGCATTTCCGTACAACCAAATACGCCATAAAAATATGTAATGTAGAGCTAGCAGCAAGGTTATTAAATATTTAGACAGGGAAACGGATATACAAATCGTTTCTAAAATCAAATACTCCGACAATAAATGGCAGCTCTTCTTTTACCCTATTTAAAGATAACTGAAATCTGTGACCAACATAGGTCGTGTAAGAACAGGAACATTAGTTCCATTCAATCTATCCACAAACAACAAAAATCTTAATTCCACCGCATTACTGCATTGATCAGTCACGCACTCCTCACTCCTGTAATCGATCTCCATATATCACTTCCAAAATTCTTAAATGCAGAGACTACCCCAGTGTCCTATACCTGATGTGGCACTAACTACAACCTGGCAAAACAGCGCAAGCCATCGCTTCACAATAAGGTACAGAGTTACATGCACCAATTCAATTATTCAAAACATCCGATTGATTAAACAAATTGGAGAAAAGAGACACTGAGATCATCGTAGAGTAAATTAAAGACAATAACGCTCCACATAGTCACACTTCCCGAGAAACAGACGGAAATCAAATCCAAGCCAAAACAGCATCCAAGAAACAACCGAAACCACCACAAAAACACATGAATCAGTGTCGGCGCAGCTTGCGCCAAGAATTGAAGAATGAGAGTTCGGAACTCACCGGCGACGCCGTGGACAGACCAGCCATGCGCCAAAACATGTTGAATTTCTGAAGAAATGACTGGGAATCCAGAAAGCGGAAATCCGAAAACGGATCTGGCAGCGCAGAAACCCTAGTGCTGTGCCCCAAATCGAATTGGAGAAATTGTTATCAGAACGGAAACCCTAGAATCGGGAACGACGAGACATAGGAAGATCGAATAGAGAGAGACCAAAAACAACCTTCAATTGCGGGAGGAAGATTGTTTCCAAGTGATGAATGAACAATAGCATCACAACCATCATCATGTACCTTCATATATATATTTTTCTGAATTTTAATTAAATTCAAATTTAAATAGCTGGTGCCAGGATTTTATTTTTCTTTATGTATTTTATTAATTTATATTTTATTAAAAATACGAAAATTTGATGAACAATAAGCATTAGCAATAATGAATTGTGATAGATGAGAGAATGTAGCTTTTGTTTCAATTTTAGAAAAATAATAATTTTAAAATATCTTAAAAAGATATTATTTTAAAGAAATTGGTAGTTCGTAATAAAATACACTATTTATGATTGCTCCTCTAAAGTTGGAGGATTATTGTTGTTGTCCACTTGCCAACATGAAACATTCAAAAAGTTCCCTCAATGGTCCAGATGATATGTTCCTTGTGATGTTTTCTTTTTTTATTTTTTATTATTTTGTTAAGGTTGTTTACCATGTAATTTTGTAGTCATGTGTAAGTCATTCATATTGTTTCATCACTTGATCGGACTGTGTTTATTATTGTCTTCCTAAATTATTTTATTAACATTGTATATAAGTTTTTGAAAGAGACATTTCTTCTAATAGGGAGATAGATAAACAACGTTTATTGTTAAATTGTATTATTTTATGGATTAATTAAAACATCAAATTATGTAAACAAATTAATGAATTTATATATATATATATATATATATATATATATATATAATTAACTGTATATCTATACATATATAATTTTAATTTCAAACTTATACTACAAAATTAATTTTAATTTTATTATAAAAGGTGTATAATAAGACTTAAACAGATTAAGATAATGTATATAAGGAGAAAAATTCACTGTAATAAGTCATGTAAATGAATGCTTTACTTGTCAATGTATGCCATGAAAAATGCAATGCGCATTAATTAGTGTTCATAAAATTGACCGAATGATTAAAAAATATACTCTGGTGTATTTAATTGCCCTGATGACTAAATGATTAACCGAGAAAATGATTAGGAAAAGTGTTTAGTTCTAACATTCCAAAAATATAGTATAAAACTATATAATAGAATAATCACAGCTAATAATATTACATATCAGTATTACAAAATAGAGAACGTACGTTTGTGGCCGAAGGCCTTACAAAAAGACAAGAAACTTAAAATTGTACAAAATAAGCAATCCCGACCGAACGGTTTACAAAAAGCCTATATCGGACGGTCATACAAAAGAAAAGGGAAAAGATGATCGAACAATCATATTACAACTAAACTAAAATATTGACCGAATGGTTCTACTGTTTGGTCTTAACTTCTACCTCAACTAAATTTTCTTCTTCCAACGCTTCTTCCAGCAGTTCGTCTCCTTCTGCTCACATCCACATGGATGATCATTGCAACAGAAAGACAACTGAACGTACAAAACAGACAAGACAGGAAACATAGGGTAAGCTTATGTAATTTAATTCATGTATCAGCATATATTTCACACAATCAACCACACAAGATAATTCATTAACTCTTTCATGCAAAGCCTAATACTAGACTCTGACTGTCCGAACTGTATGAATTACGTGTAGCTACAACGTTCGTGCACCCGGGTGATGTAGTAACTGGGATACCCACAACAGCTGTCACCCAAGGTTAGACCTATCTGTCCAAATTAACCATAAGGACTAGGATCTCCTGCCATTTCCACACATGACTTACCCTTCTCTACGTGAGAACGAGTAATCACGGAATATCAGGATGAACCACCAGCTTAGCATGCCCACATTCATATTTTACCAAATTCCAATATCCATTCATGAGATATTCCTCCCCGGAATACTCGTTCATAATCATACTCATTTCATCTACATTGTATTCCATCATCTTTCATTTTCAAACCTCAATTTGAACGAAGATCCCTTAGGATACAAAATACCGAACGTAAATCTTCAACCCCTAACGAGACCGAACACTTGGACACGAGACCGAGAGGATTCCAGTTTCAGAACAGATCAAAACCGAGAGAGAGAGTTACTATCGGGGTTGGGAAGAGAACGATCACAATAATATTTCATAAGGACAAATAGAAGTGAATGTTATTTACAAAGTGAGCCAATTTAATGAACTGACTCATGAACGTTTAGACCGAACACCGTAAAGCCTAGGTCGAGTACTAAGATTCTAGGTCGAAACCAATAGAGACAAACACTATAAGACATCAATTGATAGTACTTGAAGGAATCATATGAAGAAACCGCACACTACAAATACTTAGCTTATTTATGAGTTTAACATCAATAAAACCGAATGTCAGTTGAAGACCGAGCACGGTAGAGAGTGAACACTATTGAGTTTGAACGAATGCTCTTATTATCAAGATAGATTACGGAAAGGAGAACGAGCGCTTGGTGTAAGACCTAGCACTCACTTAGTACGAGCACTTTGTGTAAGACCTAACACTAAATAGTACGAGCGCTTGGTGAAAGACCTAGCACTACATAGTACGAGCACTTAGTGTAAGACCGAGCACAACTTAATTTATAAAAGAAAGACTTTATAAATATACAATATCAATTAAATAATGTTCAAGAACGAACGAACATACTACTACATATAGATATACTTAAATTAAAAAACTGATTGCCAAGGAACGAATATCCTTGGTTGAACGTCTATACGCAAATTTTACTAGACGAAGACGCTCGGTCCTCAACGGGAATTCCCTCCAAATGAAAAAATTCAGTTCCAACCGAGTCCATGAGGAAAACCGAACGGTCAAAGACCATTCAGTAACGAACATACATTTTCATATGGAATTTCATACTTAGAATTATTTATCTCAATTCATTTCTCAACATCTATCTTCAAAATTTCATACATTCATATCATAGTAAATTTTCATACTTCATACAGTCAAAACATAGCAACAATCATATTTCATATTAATTTAGCAATTCAACGAACATACATACATTCCCAACAAACATAAAAAATCAAATTATATAAGCTTCCCTCGCCTCTGAGCGTGACCAAACATTCACAAAGACATAATACGGTTTCACCACTGCAAGTCCTTCTACCCTCAACGCTCAACAAATTTCCAAACTAAACCAAGTAAAAACCAAAACACTATCAGAATCTCTCATTTTAGAAGAGTGATCAACACATGAAACCAAAATTTGGTTTGCATGTCCAGGAAAATGCACGACTAAGTGAAGAGAAGAACTTACTAGCTCAACTTCACAAACCGATCGGTTCAATCGAAAGCTCTTGACACCGGAAGAGTGGAAATGGTGCCTGAGTGATGATCGGAGGAAGAAACGATGAGAATCCTTAGAGAGAAGTAAGAGCTTTTTAGAGAGAATGAGGAGAGAGTGGAATTTTTCAGAAATTTGGAAAAGAAGGGTGCACGCAGAGAATGGCGTGAAATTTTGAAACTTAGAGTTTTCCTTCCAACGTCAAAACCGAACGACCACTCAGCTGCTCACACCTATCTTCCATCTTCTGAGTGTCGGATCCTCTTCTTGACACGTGAAATCCACTAAAACGAATCTTTAGTGGATTTTAATGGTTCTGACACTAGTCATCGGGATTTTTTTGAAATTTCAATATATACAACATTAGTTTTTATATTTAAAAATCAATCATTTTTATTACATATGTAATTTTCAATTTGTTCTAGTTTTTATTACATATATAATATTGTGTTTGTGTGTGTCTATATATATAAAAGGGGTGGGTGGGGGGAATCGTTTGAAATAAGTCATACAAATCATTGTTTTACTTATCAATATATGGCATAAAAAAATGCAATGCAGATTAATTAGTTTCCATAAAATTGAGCAAATGACTAAAAGATATACTTTAGTGTGTTCACTTGTCATGTTCACGAAGTGATTAATTGGACAAATGATTAAGAAAGTGTTTATTATTTCGTTGTTAAACTGGAAGATGCTTCACTAAAAGCAATTGAAGTGTTTATTTATGTTCATGCTTTATAATCGTATAATAATAAATTACGCTACAAGAAAAATACTTATTTTTAACCTTATCAATCGTTCTCGTAATAAATAATGTTTATTATTATCATGAATATAGAAAAATAGATTATAATTTTGAAGTACTTATGTGTTTTAAAGATAATTTTGTTGTCATTAACTTCATTAATTGCCATTAATAAATAAATAAATTCTTATAATTATGTTTTTTCGTTGACAATTTTAACTTTCGGCCTTAAAACATTTCATACATCTTATTTTATTTTATTTTGTTGTCTTTAATTAGTTAATTATTTAAAAATGAATTTAGAAGTTATAAAGTCAAAATGTATATTATTGTGAGTTGTTTATTGATATTTTTTATGTTTTTTTTATGTTCGTTTATTATTAAATCGGATTATAATAACATATAATTTTGGATAATTTCTATTAACTCAAATATGAGAAATTACTTCAAAAGTATTAAATTGGTTTAATGAGATTGTATTATTTGGAATATGTATTTTGTTTTTATATAGCTTAAATATATTTTAAAAAGACTATAAGAAATATTATTGAGTATTTTTAAGTATTGAATACGAAATGTTTTCTTTGCTTCAACATCATTTGAGATATATTTAAGGAATAATATTCAGTTGAACGGGTTGTCTACAAATATATTACGAAGTTTAAGCATGTTTTATAAAATTGAATATTACTTCATAAACAATGTTATTTATAGTAGTTTTGTGAATTTTTACTTAATTAGATATAGACCATCTAGGTGGTTATATTTGATATTTGTTAAACCACTTACGATATTGTTAATTATCTTATTTATTTATTTTTTGTGCATTAAGCTAGCTATTATTTGTCTTTATCGTCACGATGTTACATTGTTGGTTGAGATGGTTTCAAACATATATGGTACAATCCTTTTTTTGCACATAATTGATGCAATGAAAAAAAAGAGTGAAAATGAAACAATATTCTTCTTAAGTATTGAATATTATTCTATAGCATTCGAGTTGTAAGAAAATCTTTCTATATTCCATAAATACAAGAAATTTAGAAAAAAAAAGATAAATGT